TGCCCTAGAAGAGTCTCGGTCCAAGAAGCTTGGTTTTGCCTTAGTGTATCATGGCCAGTCTTGGAGGAATTAATTCTACAGGAGCTGTGCGAGCTCTTCTCGGGTGTTGAATGTTGCAGGTCATTTGGCTCTGTTTCCCCCCACCCCTACTCCGGAAAATAGAATGAAAGCAAAACACACACCAACTTGTTTGCTGACGTGTTGGCACATACTGTGAAATAGTTGACTGCTTGCAGCGTCTCCATAAAGGAGCAAAATATGGATTTCTCAGGTGGCAAGTTTCCTCTTTGGATAAGAGGAAACAGAGAACGGGTATACCTTTCATGAGCAAAACACAAGAGTTGCAAGGCTGAATGTGCATCAGGTATCTTTTGGTAACAGTGCTCTCATAGCGCTGAAACGTGTGTCTTTTAAACACCACAGCATAAAATTTTTAATGCCGAAGAGAGGTGAAAGGGCTGGGCAGGGACCCTCAAAACAGCCAGTAGCTAATGCTGCCTTTGTGGTTTTATATATTTGCCTATTAAAATGACAATACAGACATGGAACATTTAGATTTAAGAAGCCTTCCTTTCATTAAACAACATTAAACAAACTGACAAAGTAGGGGGTTATGACTCCAGTAATTGAAACATGCTGTTCTGTTCAAGACCAGAACTCTATAAAGACTCTTTTCACCCAGTAATGCCCTTTGTGTTTGCCTGCTACCCCTGCTAGAAATTACTGTAAGCTTGAAGTATGTCTTTCCAAGTGGAGTGGGAATGACAGAGCACAACACCACACTTGGCAGATGGGGTCACAGCCCTTTTAGGACGTTAACATTCATTGTGCATTGGAAATCAATTTGCAGCTCAGAGTGCTCGGAGACTTAAATGCACTCCCCTCCCCGCTGATCTTTTAAATGTTAACTTTAAACTCAGGATGCCGGAAAAAGAATTAGATGGATTAATTTGGATTAACTCTGATGGGGTCTGGGTAGTTCTCGTTAGTTTAATTTACATTGCGCCTTTTTGCGGATTCCCTGCTCTGCTAGATGAGTGTTCTGAATCTGTATATTACTTTGTATTTCTTTTTGCTTCTCTCTCCTAGATGTTGACGAGTGTCAGGATAACAATGGAGGGTGCCAGCAGATTTGTGTAAATACAATGGGCAGCTATGAATGTCAGTGCAAAGAGGGCTTTTTCCTGAGTGATAACCAGCATACCTGCATTCATCGCTCCATTGGTAAGTTTTCAATGTGTGACGTGTGCCTCTGAGAATAGCTGTGTTCAATAAGAAATGCAGAAACTGTTCTTAGTTTTTCTTTTATCCCTCAGAGCTCTGAAAATCATTGCAGGTGTTGGTTGGAACTGAGTGATTCCTCTGCTAGGCAAACTTGTAGCACAGGAATAAATAAGACAGAGAAAAAGATGTTAATATGATGTAGGAATATACAAACAGCAGGCTGTTGGGACAGGCAGAGAAGACATTTTCAAATGGCAACTGTGTGCTTCTGACTTTCCAAGACTCAGAAACATCTCTTATCTGTTTATTGCTTAAAAGGTCTCTTGTCTTCCACTTTTGAGAGCGTGGAATCGAAGCTTATATCAAAATGAGCAACTTTCTTCTGGAAATTATACAGATTATCTTCTTTAGCCAGTCATGTAACTCATTGCTTCATTGCAGATTGATGATGGCTGATGTTATGTTGACACATCAATTTTCTGTGATTCAGTATGCTATCTAGGGTGAAATAGAAAACTGCTTTTCTCTTGCCTGTGCCTTGGCAGTAGAAATAAGGAACCCCTGCAGAACTGCAATCCTAGTCTGCTGCTGATTTTGAGTAGAATAAGCTGCTCTCCTTTTTCTGTATATGTCAGGCGTGGAAGACAAGTTTGAGTGGAAAGGAAAAGAAAACAGCATAGCTATAAATCTTTGCAATTAAGTGGACTCTTTATGTGTTCATTCAGACTTCTGGTGACCCTGACAGCAATGGGAATATATGCTAGCAAACTCCTTTACCAATAGGCAATAGAGAATGAAAAATGAAAAAGTAGCAAGATGAGTCTGGTGATCAACAATATAAGCATGCTGTAAATTTCCATAAGCCACGCAATAGTTCTGAATTATTGTGAGTCACTGAAATTAACCAGAAAATCCTACCTGAACATAGAGTATGAATTTAGTCACTCTGTTGACAGGAAAACAAAACCACCTGAGCTTCTCAGAAATGTAAATGTATTTCTGGCATCATGTGCCTGTTTACACAGAATTTTAAAGACAAGTAGTAATTTAGAATTTTAGAAATGTGTTTAGAAAGACAGAATATATTCACAGTTCCACTTTTTAGAATGACTGTTAGGTTTAAAGCAACTGAGGCTTTTTGGTTTTGACAAGAACATGCAATTAAGCTACATCAACCCGTGTATTTTAAAGGTTGTTATCTAATAGGTTTTTAGTCATTCTTTTCAACATAAGTTGTTCAAATTTCTGTCCAACATAAAGTAACCCTGACACAAAGATATCCAACAGAGCAAAGAATAGTAGCTGGAGGCTTAATGAAAACCACTTGCAGAGCACTGAGATACGATCATTATTTCAATTTGCACATTATAAAAATTCCCAGCTGTAATAAAAGAGAATTTATTTATTCAAGATGTAAACTAATGAAATAAATGAAAAATGAGACAGTAAAGGCAAAAGTTTTTTGTGAGGAACAGATTTATTGAAGGAAATGGTGAGTTTTCATGGCAAAGAGGATTCCTGCTTTGCAGGAAGGACTCGGGGGATGGATTTGAAGGTTGACTGCTGCGTGCACATAATAAATATGCATGGGATGAATGTATTTGTGGTAACTTGTTTATAAAGAAAATGACAAATAAGACATGGTCATTTAATTAAAGCAACATCATCAATTTATTTTTGGTCTGGAAAAAAAAAGACCCCAAATAGCCTGGAGGCAGTTGCAAAGTGTATTGTGAACAAATGCTTTGCAACTTTTCAAAAATAAAGTGCCAATTTAAAATATGAGTAACCATTACACTGTTGTGTCATGATCCTACACACAAATACATTGTGTGGGTATGCTGGAAGAAGGAAATGAGATGAACGATCTATTTTAGTCGTCAAAGGTGACTGAGCTGCAAACTGTAAACATGCATGCTGAGAGAGTAAGTGCTTTTTTAAATATCCCTGTTTACTCACTTTTGTCTGTCTCACTTCTAAGTTCCTTTATGGAAACTGTTGGAATGCAAAAATACAGAAATGCTTTCATCCAAGCAGTTAGCCAGAATTATGCCTAATGCTAGACTGTGTCTATTCCTCTGTTGGTAAACAAGGGTGAAGTAGGCAAAGGTGTAACATACATCCAGGATTGCAATCCAAACACAAAGGCTCTGACCTAACAATGCGCATTAGCAAGCTTGTTGACTTTGAGTATAATAAGATCCATTAATTGCAGTGGGATTACATTTTTATCTCTGAAAAATGCATGTGCAATCACATGATCTCCCTGTCCTTGACATCACCTAAAAGTCTCTTCAAGGACTCAGCTAGTCTAAAATAATCTACCACAAGGTTCTTCATGCAGTTTCCTACCACCTTTTCTTTCCTGTTTTCAAATGCAAGGTCCTTAGGTTGTATATGGAGGTGGGATGAGTCCAGAGGAGAAGAACCAGTACCAATGCCCCCTGTCTGCAGGCTCAGCATGCCTGCCTTGGCCCTTACTGAGGCTGGTGCTGCTCATGTGCTTTGAGCTCATCAACATGTTCAAGTGATGGAGTAGTTTCAGGTCTGAAAAATGGCATTAGACACTTGTGGGGGGGTGGGGTGTAAGCAGAGGAAGGAATATGTCTCTTTTTGCTAATTAACCAACATCCTCCTTAAGACTATCGGCTGCTGTGTGCGCTTCTCCAGCTGCCAGAGATGTGCTGTGCTGGTCTCAGTGCTTCAGGGGTGGATAGTGTATCATCCCACTCCTACCCACAAGCTGTGGTTAAATGCCACCCTGGAGTTCATGACAGGAGCTTTTAACATCATCCGTGTTTCCCAAATGTCATGTTTGCTTGCCATCTAGAAGCGTTCTCATTATTTCCTGTGGACAAAAAGGATTGATGATCCATAGAGAAGTACAGATTTTATACCAACGGGAGGCCAGGCTGACATTAGTCAGTGCAAACCCTAGTTTCCCGGTATTTGCTTTCTTTCATTTTCTTCAGTATTGGCCAGCTGATTTCATGTAACTTTGAGTATCTTTTGGGAAGAGGCTATGCCCAGAACAACTTACCTCATTTATTTTTGCCTGTACTGGTTTCCTCACAATAATAACAGCAACAACCAACAGAGAGAAAGGGAGGGAAAATGGATGGTAAAAGATAAGGAAAATTTGGCAGTTGTTTATCTCAGTACATCTTAATTGCAGTAGTAGGTGTGAGCACTGTGAATTATTCTGGAGACACATTTGTATTTCCTCATGATTTGAAAAGAATTAAACAGCTGTTACTGTAACATCTCCAGCTCCAGAGGGAGCATGTGTTTAATAAATGTGGAGATTAGTATCGTACGCTACTGCTGTGACTGAGTCAGGTGTGTTATAGCATGTCTTCTCTCAATTTAGTAATAACTGAAAAGTCCCAGTTCAGCAAAGCCTCTGAGATAATCTTTAATGTCCCAGTGATACCAAAGTTAGTTAAAAAACTGAATTGGGCCTAAAAGCATCAAGATAGGCAGAGTTTAGCTATATGCCTCTAATTCTACTGAAGTTCAGAATGATCTGGAGTTCTGACTTCATTTTAAGGGTACAGTATGCCTCATTGCATTAAATTAAAGGTATTCTGTTCAGGAGCCCTGGCTACAAACTGCCTCTCCAACCAAAATTCCCAGCTTAAGTAGTAGAGGAGGCCATTACGTCCCACCCCTAGAGAGCAAGTCCCCTATGGCGCAAAGGAGGTTTGCTTACAAGCCTAATACTTTAGGAGTTCTGTGGCTAGGAAGACATCTGCCGTTTTAAATTCCAACCCTTGAATGTCTCCCAAAAACCTAGTTATGCTGATGATTTCAGATCTGTTAATAATTCACTACCAATATTTTATTTATACTGCTAGTGCCAAGTAAATGAAAAGGGCAGGTGCAATGAGAAGTGGTAATTTTAAAGTGGAGACAAGAAGAGGTGGAGAAGTACTGGGCTATAGAAGTCTGGAAATTATGATGGTCTGGTCAAACAGCGGAAAAGCTTTTTACACAGTTGTCACCATCATTTTCAAGCCTGTTAAAAAGCCATTTCACAAGGAATTGCTTTTTCACTTCCCCTTATACCTTTAGACTTACGCTCTTTGCAGAGTTGGGGGTTTCTACACACAAAATCAGGATACCACAATTTATCAAATTACCGTGCTATGACTGAGCTTCAAAAATTGTGTCTCTCTCTTCACACTGTCAGTGCAACAGTTTAGGCCTTGAGGAAAGAGAGATGTTAAGTCAAATTGTCTTGCATTTGCCATGGGCTAAATGTGTTTATGAAAATCATACTTCTACTGATACGTAGCAACCTGTTAAACTCGATTATATGCTTAAAGCCTTGTCAATTGTGCAGTAGTAGCAGTAGAGTCCTCTGGTGAGCTGACATCAAACTACCGAGTTCCTTCTTGTTCTGAGGACTATAAAACCGCCTTTGTTCATTTGTTTACTTTCCTACTTTCCATGTTTTATTTTTATTCTTCACCTATTTTCGTAGTCCAATGGGATTTTATAATGGCAGAAAAATGTTAGGGTTCCTAGGAAGGAAAAAGTGATCCCCAGCCAGGGTAGGAGTGATCTGCAGTTTGGGATTGTGGACTTTATTCCCATCTGTGGTGCTGATGCCCCGTGTCACTCTGAGTAAGAAGGTTTTTGTTATTCGGTATTTTCTGCAAAGCATTTTAAAGGACAGAGGTGCTTATTCTGCAGAAGCACAATAGTGTATTCATATTTAAATTAACGTAGAAGGATGACTTTGAATAATTAAGTGTTGCCGGGCTGGTTTTAACTTTACGAAGTATGGGATTTCTTGTTGCAGCTCTGAAAGCTCTTTCATGATGATGTAACTGGTTAAATTACTCCATTACTTGAATATGCTTTACCATAGTTATCCTGAGTAGAGGCATCCCATTTACTGGAACAGGATTGTCCTAGTTGTCCTTTTAAATTGGAATCCTAATGTGATTGTAAAGTAGATAAATACATATAAAGTACATTTTCAGGAAATAATA